AGCAAACTTCACATCCACTCCTGCAGAACCCAGTGGCGATTGATGAGTGTAACTAAGTTCAGCTGCAGAAAGCTCCAAGTGTAACAATGGAACGTTTTCGACATAAACATAGAAATGAAGGATCACATATGAAGCGAGTGCGACTCATGAGCAGACAAGACCCAATTGTGGGACTGAAAGGTACCACACATACAAGTGGAGATTTTACGGAAGTTTGTTGTTTTCACTAGATAACTAACAGCTTCAAATAAATGTAATGGTTTTTTCTAGTCTTTCAACGTTACGTTGACTGCTACGAAAATGACAAGCACATCGACATTGAGGCTAATGATAATAGACCTTCAGGAAAGTGAAGTGGGATTTCGACTAGTATTAAAAAAAAGCAAATTTAACTCAAAATAAGCTTTATTGGTCGAAATAAAGCCTATTTCAGTTTGCGCATTTTTGCCAATGAGAAACAAGTCCATCTTTACTGGTATTAAATCGTGGTATTCTGAAGGAGATCGAGTGGCTGAAAGTGCTGTCGGCCTCAGCTTGATTTCTGAAGGATTTCTCATCCAAGAACCCGTCGAGGTGCTTGAAGAAGTGGCACACAAAAGGCAAAAACTTGGCTAGTTTGATGGATGATACAAAGTTTCGTGGCCTCGCTCGTTCAACTTTTGCAGAGTCGATTGTAGGACGCATCGCCACTTGTTTTCGTGCAGAATGACTGCTCACTTTTTGCTGAATGGCACGGCCTCTGTTACTTCTTATGGATCTCGTCGACCTGCGGTGAGATTTTCTACAATAGTCGTTCTAATAGTAAGTTAGGATGATGTGCTGATTTAAAGTAGCATCTAACTGCCGAACGATCAGCGCAACCTTATTCTGGTGCAATTTTGGTTTCGAAAGTCCTTCTGAGCTATATGTTGTGGTCTAAACCTAAGTCGTTTGTCAGGTGCCGTATAAGAACCATTTCTCGTCGCACATAAAAACACGATCGAGGAGCTGCTCGAGGAATGATTTTTCGAAAAAAATCACCGGCGATATGTCAAAACGGCGATGTCTTTCACTACGGTTCAATCCATGCGGCATTCATCTATGGAGTTTCATCGGCTTCCAGTTTTTAAATGCATCGGAAAAGCTGAGATGTTTACACTCTGCTTTTCTGGCCTTCAATTTATCGTCGTTAATTCGCCACGACGAAATTTTCCAAACCGGTGGTGCAGTGTGCGCCCCATAACACCTCCTCGCTCCTACATTCCGCTGTTTCGAGCCGCTTGGCTGCACTTAGTCCGAACTTGTAGTCTTAGGATTAGATATGTTAAAAATTCTCCTTTCCTCCTAAAGTAAAATTTGCCAAAAATAAATTTAGTTGCACGGAGCAACTCAGTGCGCAAAGTAAGGTAGTGTTCGCAATTATATAAAATGTACAGCATTGAAAAAAAAATCTGCGATGACATATACTATAGCATAACAAGAAAGACGAGGTTGCAAACCACGCGGTGATTTATTGAACGCGTAGAACATTTTTGCGTGAGCTATAAGGTGGTATGAGAAAACAGAATGAGGAAGTTTTATTGCCCACATACTGAAGGTGAAGGGCGCATGTGACGCAGTGGTCGGAGGCCTTCCTGCAACACACGAGTGGAATCGATCTTCGCTTCTACGGCCCACCAAGCCCTCCATCCCTCCGGGGTCGGCAAATTGGTAGCAGATTTGTCTGGGAGGATAGCAGCACTGGCTAGATACATTCATAGGCCATCGCGAGCCATTGTAAAGGCCAGATATGCATCCAGTCACCTCCAAACGACGCATAATGAAGTCGAATGTATGGCGCTTCCCTCATGGATTGATCAACGCCGAGAGCTTTAGAGCTTTTATAGTGAAGGTGCTGTTTACTATATCGAAGAAAAAGTTCATTGCTTAAGCCTACTATTTTTGATCGGTTCGATACGGTCTCCGCCTCGCCTGTTTTGCCCGTCTTCTCTTCATCTCCTAAAGAAATTACTTTACGTGATTTGCAACTATTTCGCTTTAAAAGTGAAGAAAATCTTCCCAGCTACATTAGATCGTCTAATCAGTACTTAACATCTTAAAAACAGCAATGAAGTCTCCTTCTTTACAAAGCGGTGCTCTGATGGTTGAAAAATGATTATTCATCATTTAACGCTCTTCAGACAGTTGCTTTCTTTCCAATTTTCATTGTTAAGCAAACGAGTCATAGAGATAAAAAAGTATTATTTGATCTACCTCCTAACATAGTGTTACAATCACCAGATGAAATGGAACCAAAACCCGAAATTCCGGAGACTTCGTCCGATAACGATGACGTCCTCCTGCAATCTACCGTGAAACATGGCTAAACACTAGTTTGTTGAGTTGATAATCCTACTGTGATCGAAAATTTGAAATTAGGAAAAAAAACGTGGCGTGGATCTGGATTCAAACAGCGCTGGGAAAGTGTGTTCGTGTGTTTTTGGTCTCTCAAGGCTCGTCGGTCATTTAATAACAGCATTTAACTGTTGCCATAACCGATGACGTCTGTAATCTTGCGAATTTTAAGCAGAGTTAGTTGAATGGATTGATGAACGCCCTCATATCGGTTCATCGTAATATCAGCTGCGTATTCTATTGTGTTGTTCCATTATCAATTAGTCTCTAAGAACATTGGCGCTAACTCATAAGGGCTAGTGAGAATTAGAATCACTGAGAGAGTGACTAATATTTGCTGTCATCTGCACTTGCCTGTGGTCTAGTTGATGACTATTTCAATTTTATTTTTCGCTGTACCGCTTACTTCATCAATGCTAGTGATCAGTTTTCATGTCTCCTCTTGGATTTAGCGTTATCATTCATTCATTTCAATGACATTAAAGCCCTTTAGGATCCTCCATGAAATACCCAGTCTGTGAAAAATAGCGCAAGCTCCACATCTTATCAATCCACAGCAAAGCATGAACCGTTTTATCTGAGCTTACAGCCATGGTTCATAACCGTCTATTTCCATTACAGCGTCAACCGGTATGTAATGCCAGGATTAGCCTCAACAGTGTAACGCCGTTTCGATTCTACACCAGTTATGTGACAGGTATGAGAATATTTGAAACACTCATAATATATCTAGTATTATTGTGTTTTAAAGGAAATTTCATAGTAGTTACTCATTCCTCCAATACCAGAAACAATATGGAAATAACCCGAACCTGTATGCTCTAGATTGTTTTCCGGTGTTTCTCGACCTAGCCCTCCCTCGATTTTTACTACCCATGATTGGTTCTGAAGCACTCGTTGACTGAAGATGTATTCTCAGAGATGAAGAGCAAATGCTCCTCCCGATTCTGGATACGAGAAATGGACCGCACCCCATCATTTTTTGCTTAGGAGGAAGATTCGATAATGGTTGTCTCATGACACGTACATACAACAGGCTTTATTTAAAACATTTTCAATATTTATACATGTAGAGTGGTACGATATTTGCATAAGAAATACAAATTTGCATTCTTAGAAACACTCATCACTAAGCTTGGTCGATTTTGATAAAAAAGACCTTTTATGGAGTCCAGTTAATTGTTACTGTGATGTAATTGCAATAACTCTTAACACTTATTAACACTGCTACAAAACTCTTGATGAATGTGGATTTGTTTCGCGCCAAGTTTGTCCCTAACAACCACCAGAATAATCGCTGCTGGAATAGACAATCCTCATTCTCACTGTTGAGTATGTGTAGGTTCTAATCACAATTCTAGACAACTTCTGGATCAGTATTAAAACAAAACGAGAGGATTAGAAGAGGTAAAGTATCCTGAGGACCATAAGAGGGCCTTTCTGAGTTGTTGATCGAACTCTACATTTTCTTCGACTACTAAATAATAGAAATTTTGGCAGATGAGGGGCTGCTAGTGTATGAAAGCCAGCAGAATAAAATTTTGCGCCAAAACGGTATATGCATCTCTTGGCTTTTGTGGGTTGGAGAAATTGATTTTGCCGCATTTCTTCTCGTATTCTTTCATAATGGCAGTGATTCCTGTGACGGCAGTAAATACTACGATAACTTGACCAACTGCTTCGAGAAGGTCCAGGAATACGAATCCATAAGGCTATAATATTCCACCTTATTTTATACTCATCAACAATAGAAAGGCCCCGGAATTATTTCAAATAAAAGCAGTTTTCTAGAGATGTGGTTGATGCCCCCGCCACCATCCTGGTATCAAAGTCGCATGGTGGCGAATCTCCCTCTGATCCGCAAGGGCTGCGACTGCCCGTGGTGATGAAGACCTGGGGCAGACTTTGGCCAGGCTGTCCTCGGGATTCCAGGGAACCACAATGGATTAACCAGCAAGTCTCCGAAGAATGGTGATTATGCTGGAACCTGCACAATTAGTGAGGACGGGCCGTTCAAGTATCAAGTATCAAGTAAATAGATGACATAAAGGTAAACTATATGACAATAGCTACAGCATATCATCTTTAGGGATAAAACAATATTCTTGTAATATTATGTCGTCTAACCAAAGATTGACGAATACTTGTTCGAAAGCAAGTCATAAATACTGTCTCCACTTTTGCTCTAGTAAAGTGATAAGTCTCTGAAATTTTGTCCGTTTTCTGGTTAACTAGTCATGTTTTGCATACCATCATTACATAGCTGCTGATTTTAAACAGAGACATAAAGGAGTCAATCATGCCTATTATGTCAGTCTAAAACAATTACGAACGTATGAGCAATTGTGCTAGATTTGATCGAGTGACATGGAACATTTAATTTGCAAGAAAGCGCTACGAATCCCTATGTACGAGACCTTCTCGAACTTTGATGTTTTGCAAACAAAAAACGGAAATTGAACTAGAACTTTTTCCGCTAGTTTCCAGTTTTAGAGGTATTGAGCAAGAGATTTTGATAAAAGGAATGAGAACGATGCTGTGTATTTATATTCCGAAAAACTGCATGATAACCCTCTAAGCGGTAGAATAAGGGACAAGAGTCAAGAAGCACTTGGTTTATTGAGTGATCAGATGACGCCAAGTTTCTTTCCGATCTCAGTGAAGGCCTCCACAGCTGTGTCGATATTCTCAGTAGTGTGGGCTGCTGATATCTAAACGATAAGTAGTAGATAAGTAGAAGAAAGTCGTTATAATTACTAGGCTATATAAAAAGTTTACATAATTACTGGATCAAATGAAAAGTTTATCTATAAATCAATGTTCTCGACAGATTTGTTCTGAAACTGCGTTCATGTCGACTATTTTCTCAAGTTAATGTTTCTTTTAACTCATCCACATTTATTATCAAGGTGTCCTTAATTCTCACGACCCGTTATCACTTAAGACAACGTCGGCCTGGAGTCTTAATTTTATATAATAGATACCTGCACTCGTATTCGGGCTTTTCCCGTTGGTACGACCGGGTAGCTAAATCCGATGACGTAGATACCCTTCGTTAACAATTCATCAGCCATTTCAGCAGCGAGTCTACAAAATGAATACTGATGAAATAATATAATAACTATAACAATTATGGCAGTTATAAAAGTGACATAACAAATATTGATCTTTCATTGCAGGCATCGATTCGAACTTCCAATTTTGCCGTATGAGCATAGAATCACCGACTGAATAATGAGTTTGAAGACGCACTTTGATTGTGTTCACGTCTTCATTAACGAATAGTGCCTTCGCTAACGATTCATGCGTTAGAGGAAGAATCGTGGTGTCAAAGAGGTGAGCATTCAATTGAATCGATTAATTTAAAAAGTTCCGTGGTTTAACTACTAATTCAGCTGTCCAGAAGATTCAACATAGCAGTGGTGGTGAAAAATTGAAAAAAATAACTTTGAAGCGCTACTGAAAACCTCGTACTGTTTTAGACTGATGAAATGTCAAATAATGAAAATTGGTAACTACGCAGCTGAGTTATGTGAGAGTTGGTTTGAAAATCAAGGCGAGGAGGTGTGTATAAGATAACTTTCTCCCACGATCGACTTACTACTAACCTTAGCATTGAATTGATAAACCTGTCGTTTTCTTTCTCAGCAACCGCGAGGTTGCTAAAGAGCAAGCGCTTACTTCCATGTAATAATACACATACAACACAACCGTTGCTAACGTTTCGGCAGAATCGCAGAAACGGAACCGATTGTGCAGAAAGAAAATTCGCAGGAACATCGGTTCTGTTTCTGCGATTCTGCCGAAACGTCAGCTACGGTTGTGTTGTATGTGTGTTATTGTATGAAAGCAAACGTATGCTGTTCAACAACTTAGCGATTGTTGAAAAAGAAAACGACAGATGCCCTTCTCTCTTTTTACTCAACACTCTGTTAAAATTGTGCTGAAGAATATTCTACTGTCCAATAGGCTATGGTGAAAATTTAATGCCCAAGCATAGTTGAACGAGGTCTGTCATACTCATTATGACAGTGAGACTGCAGAATTCTGTGACATAAACGTCATTCCTAACCAGAAACGGAAGGATGCTGCAATCGTGGAATATATGATGAATAAGAATATCACTTTTCGTCCATTGTTAGTTGAGTGTCTCGAGCGGGCCTTTCTAAAACTTCCACTTTTCTTCAGGCGTGTAAGAGCAACCGCGTGGGTTCCGCTCGCTCCAGGGACTCGTTGAGCATCATATCTTTCTTCTAGGCCCTTCGTGAAGAACTCTCTCCATTGGGTTGTTGGTGTTCCTGCAGTGCGTTTGACATCCCCAGGAATCCAGTCACTTGCTGCTGTTGACCATCGGTTGTTGTTCATATGCTTTACGTGTCCGGTCCAGCTTATCTTCAATTGTTTGGCGCACAAAACGGCATTCTTGATTTTGATCGTTGGCGCAGATCGGAGCTATGGATCCTTTCCCTTAACTGTGCGACACGAGTTACACCTAACATCGTCCTTTCGACCATGCGTTCAATAACGCTGAGTGATCTTCCATCTTGTTTACGCAGACCTTGATGCTCTTGAAAGTTCCCCAAGCCGCTTGTTTCCCCTGATCAACTCTGGGGCTAAGTCGTTCATCATGTATATTTCACCACCTAGATAAGAGTAACGTACTAGATAGGAATAATCCCATCGAATCCAGCATTGCACGGGCTTAATGAATGCTTTGGCTTCGACAAACAGTTTTCCAAGGGTAAATGGTTTCCGGATTCCGGAGATATGATGTGCTTATGACTAGTAGGAGGTATTGTATTTAAAGCAATAAGGCAAAACCTCGCAGCAGAGTACTAGTAATAACAACACATCACCTCCCCACGTCTCCGCGACTAACTTTTTATTAACTTGAGTATTGATCACGAAGGAAATCATCTCAAGACAATCAATGGGCTGTCAAAACCAAAATAGCAGGAACGTCGATGGCATGGGGTCGAGTACAGTGTTCTGATCTCTTGCAAGCGTGAAGGGTCGAAAACATCGATGAAACAAGTAGACCACTCGATGTCCGTATGAAGAAGGCCTCTATGGAAGGCTTATGCTCTCTAGAGCTTAAAGTTTATTAAACAGGTTGTAAACAAAATTCCCACTGGGCTCACATAGAGTGCAAAAGCACAGCGGAAAAAATTCTAAACTCAGAAAAAATCTTATCATAGAAATTGGAAACAACCCGAATCCGACATGTTATAAAAATCCAACGCATTTTAACCAACTATTTAAACCCAAAGATGAAACACAGGAATGAATATCTCGTAATTACACACAATTCAGGGTTATACCTTAGACGCCTTAGATGGATTTTCTGACCCGTGACACTCACATTCCTTGTTACAAGTGAACTCTCCTCGCAGCACTTTCTTCTTAGGTGAACAGAAGAAAAAAGCTGGTGTTTTAAACGAGCTCTTTAGCTTGTACTTGAAATCTAGGCCCTAGACTTTTCCTGTGAGAATTATAAAAGTACTCCACTGAATAAACTGCACAGCATATAGGCAGTTTTCAAGCCTTAAAGGAAGCTAAGTTCAACAAAGCAATAGCAATTGTAGGATCAGTGTTGTGCTAACATTCTCACATCACCCTATTGAGTACAAATGAGTTCGAGGGTGTTTTAAAAAAAAAGACATTGCTTTAATTAAAAAACACTCCCAAATGTCACCTACAAAATTAAAAAAGAATACGAAGAAGGAACATGACAATTAAGTAGATTAATTGTCAAACATACCTCGCATCGCCTAGCAGCACCGGGCAAATAGGATGTGTGTTGTCATTACCGAGAACTTTGAAACCATTCCTTGACATCTTCGACCTAAACGCTGCTGTTTTTCTCTGCAAATTCCAAAATTGGGCTATTATAAACATAATGACATATTCAAAAGTGACAAGGAAAACTTAGCTATTACCAATAGCGGCTTACCGAAAACGCTGCACGTTGACCTTCAGAGAACCGATGAAGGATGAATCGTTCATGATAAGGTCAAAGACCTAAATTTGGCTTCAAATTCTCGTATTCGTAGCGTAAAACGTGCTCAAATGATACCTTTATACTGGAACCAACAATGCTTGGTGCCAAAGAGTTCGAAAATAAATACGGTCTCGATCGTTGTCTCAGAAGGTCGATTAGCACCTTCGGACCTATAAACTAACGAATGGTTTAGCGCCATGAATTAGTCGTCCACATTGAATCGATTCGGTGATAATCGCTTAGACACCCTAACCACGGAGGAAAAACCTCTTGTTTTCGAGATCACTGTTAGGTACAAACTCATTTACAGTTAGCTTATTTTTTCTATCCTCTTGATGAGCGAACGCGAAGGTGTCACTTTATTCTTCATTTATAAACAAGCTGACATTTCGGCGAATTTCGCCTGGAATGGTCAAACTAGCTGCAAATTACCCAAACTTGGTTGCGGAGGTGTTTGGTTGGATAGATTACAGTCAACTCGACTTTTCTAGCCTCTGAGGAAGGCGAAATCCGCTGAAACGTCAGCCTTCTTATAAATAAAGAATGAATTAACAACCTCTTGTTAGCTCATCAAGATAACAGTGAATTATTTAATCAATACCGAGGTTAATAGTAGGTGGGTCATGAGAATTACTTATTTTTTCTTTTGAGGCAAAGGTTACTTTATCCTATAGTGCATCAGAAGCATTGAGATGGCTTGTTAATTGTATTTGTATATAGTGCTGAGATATTTGCAAAACTCCGGACCGCAGGTGTATGTGGTGGGGAACGAACGCGCGCGCCGCAGTTTTGCAGCACTATATGCGAGTTATATTTCGCAACATACCCTGCCATTAAAAAGAAAAAGGCAGTAAATAAAAGGGTTAAAATTGTATTTGTTTTTATGTACAAGACTGTACCAATGTAATAAATGCCGTAGTCTGGGAGCACTTAGGTGGACTATGAAAGTCAACCGAACCAACGACTACGTAGTGAAAAGTAGCACCTAGTTAATTCAGTACTAATCTAGTACATTTCCTGTCTAAATCTGGTTTTTGACAGAGCCGACGGTTCCTCCACTCTATGGCAATCCTTGATAATTTTGAAGTAAATTCTGTAGCTATTATTGTGAACGATAGAATTATTTTTCCCTGTGGACTTACTCAGGAGTGATTATATTTCTTTGTTTCTTATCGACGTAATTTTTTATTATACCTTAATGAGAATAATGATTGTTAAAACTAGAAGATCGAAATCTCAATACGTAAGTTTCACCTGTGGTGTATCCACCCATAGAACCTCCAAGAGCTTTTCCGAGTGTGGAATTAATGATGTCAACTTGTCCAGATATTCCTGAAGTTCATAATGAGAAAAAGGTATGCAACTTCAGCTGTTTTTAACTATCAACTTTCTCAACAAGCAAAAGAGCGATGGAAGAAGCACTTCAACTGTTTATTACGTAGTTGTAAATGATATGCAACAACGTCATCTTTACCTAGTGCTTCCTCGGTTCCCTTTCCTGTTGGTCCGAAAAAACCACTGGCATGACATTCATCAACGAAAACGATAGCATTATACCTGAGAGACTAGATTAGCTACAAGTATCATCAGACTTTGCAAAACTCAGCACCGCAGGTTTCCGTGATGGGGATCGAACATGCTAATACAGTTTCCTGTGGCTAACGTATTCACTACCACACTATGGGGATCCTACCATGGGTTCAATACCTATTTGTCTTCACCAGATCATTACTGCAGATGGGTGATTGCTGATGGCATGGGTAGATAGAAAACTAGCTGAGAGAAAGGCAAAGCAAGGGCCTCTGTGGCAAAGTGAAAAATATGTGAGCACCAGGAAAGAGTCATTGCGGTTCGATCTAGCTTGTAGTCTAAGTTTTGCAAATATCTCAGCATCATAGTAGTTGTATCATCAGAGTTTTTCTGTTTCGCTATTTTAATTTCAAAAATTGACTGCCACTTATAGTCGGCAATGAAGGAAAAGTTGCAGTGTTCGTATGAATTGTCCCAGATGAGCTGGCCCGAGGTCGTTAATACGTTTTTAGTTCACGATGGCTAAGGTTAGGATTTCTTCTTGTTTCATTATTGGAACCCCATTGACCGACTCTCAGCAAAATAATATATAGGACGACGCTTAGGAGACTTCGTTGTTTCGTTCGGAGTCGTTTTCTTGCTGTCAACTTTTTTAAAATATCGGAGCATTTATATCTTGCTCACATACGAGAACAAACGAACGTTAAGATCGTTGACGGGCGTTATTGTTAGCCAGCCACGTAGAAGTAGAAAGGTCTTCGGCGTTAAAACGTTAACGAACGCTATGGTTGGCTGCCCATTCAGAGTTAGAAAGGTTTTCATAACCTCGAGTCAGCTGATCAAAATCATTCACGAGAACACAGTAAAGTGGAAAAGCTGTTAGATAAATTCGATTACAAGTTTTCATACTTATCAGCCAGATCACAAATTTCTCTTAATGGCGCTACATCACCGTCCATTGAAAAGACGCCATCAGTCGCAATTATTCTCTGCCGAGCCCCTAAAATTGGTATGGCAATGTCCAACTCAAAACCAAAACCAGTTTTTTCGTAGGAAGAGAGTTCAAATAAGGTTAAAGTAGAAACTGATACATTAAGTTTGTAGTGATTCACCTTGATTTTCCTTTAACTTTTCCTCGAGATCGGCTAAATCCATATGTTTGAAACGTATTTTCTTCGCTTTACAGAGTCTGATACCATCAATAATCGAAGCATGATTGAGCTCATCAGAAATAACCACGTCGTTCTGGTCTGTAGTGAAAGGCAATTTTACCGTTCCACTGTTACAAATTGTTCCCGATTATTTGAGCTTATTTGTCTGCAAATTATAGAATTTTTTAAAGAGTTAATACAGCAAGGATCCTTCTTTCATTTTAAATGAGCATAGCCTTATATTTACTATTACTATTTACTAAAATGAAAGATGAAAAATCACACACGTGCAATTGATCTCCGCGCCATGGCCCATTGAGCCTTCCATCTCTCACGGGTAGGAAAATTGGTACCAGACTTGTCTAGGAGGATAGCAGTACTGGCTCGATATATCGGTAGGCCACCACGAGTCATTGTAAAAGCCAGATATGCATTCAATCACCTCCAACCATGCTTAATGAAGTTGAATGCATGACGCATCCCTCAGGGATTGATCAACGCCGAGAGCTTTATCCTTTATCCTTTATTCACTACAAATTCATTTCTCCATTCTTCGCAGTAAACAATACCACAGAATTGGGGTAAGGTAGGGACAGTTTCGTAATCTCCTAACCAGTCTTCGTTGTAACCACACCGAATTCTCTTCCTGACTAGAAAGGACACGTCGAGGGTTATTTTCATTATTATTGTTGTTACTGTATCACGCGTCGTTTATTTGCACCACATCATGTCATCACCACAAAGGCTCGCCGTTTTTATAGACAGGATGAAGTTTCACTCAAACAACGCTGTTACCAATTTGCAGACTTTGAACGAATAGAGGGCGTTTCTGCCAAGGATACGGAAGCAAATCAAAAACTTCGTATGTATTTCAAAACCCTCTTACTATTGTGTTACACTATCCTTAAAGAATTATTTCCTTTTATTTTATACGACCAGCCCTTCCTATCACTGTGAGGATTCTAGCACTTCTCACATTTCACTCATTTCCTCGCATCCATCATCCACGGAGGTCTTTCAACTTTCACATATGGCATCGGTTGCTGCTTGAGGAATTTCATTTTATCTTAAATACCTTAGAATGTTGGACGAGTCGATTCATCATGGATTCCTGAGATAGCCAAGCTATAGAGTTCCCACTTGGGTAGCAGAGACTAAATTTTTTCCGGACAAGCTCGGTACCAATTATCCTATTCCGGAGGGATGAGAGGCTTGGTAAGCCTTAAGCAGTATCAAAGACACCGGTGTGCTATTATCCATATCCACTAGCCATCAATTATTCTACTATACAATTAAAAACCTACTAAAGCTCGTTCGAAAGTTTTTATGATAGTGTTTGGCAAAAATGGAAGAAGAAACTAGAAGATACAGTGCTGTTGCTGCTCACTCACTTGTCAGCACTTCGAAAATCCCAGCATTCGCATCAAAGCAGGCCGCATACAGAATAGCATCTTCCCTGCCGTGGAACTGAAATTTTCCGGCTCTCACTCTTGAAGATTCTCCGTCATTTTTTTGTGCATTATTACTTAGTTTTTGCTCACCCCTTACAAAATTTGCGTATATTTTTATGGATTCTTTCCAACAAATTCGTGAATGCACCAATTATCGACAGCCACTGATAATTTACCGATCACCGAAAAAGCCAAAAAGGATTTGGTAATTTTACAGACATATAAAAGAGATGTGTATTCTTTCTTGATAAGCTTGCACGAGGTTGATAAATATGTCTATTTTCGGCTAACGTTTCGACGTCTTCGTCTTCCTCAGAGCCGGTGATCCGAGTCGATGGTCCATGCTTGTTGTTCGCCTCGACGTTGCGTCTTCGCCTTCCTGTCGAGCCAGATCTTCCTCAGTGAGCCATCTTCTCGAATGAGGCATCCTCACTCAGTGATGCCCTTTTATACGCGATGCTGATGGTGGATATATAATGACAATGTCCGGTGGTAACAACTTGTATTTCTTCCGGACATACATCATTTCGAAATATTACTACGCTTTGTGCTAGCTGATAATACACCGACCTATGCACGATGTGCGCAATGATGTATGTCCGGAAGAAGTCCAAGTTGTTACCACCGGACATTGTCATTATATATCTACCATCAGCATCGTGTATAAAAGGGCATCACTGAGTGAGGATGCCTCATTCGAGAAGATGGCCCACTGAGGAAGATCTGGCTCGACACGAAGGCGAAGACGCAACGTCGAGGCGAACAACAAGCATGGACCATCGACTCGGATCACCGGCTCTGAGGAAGACGAAGACGTCGAAACGTTAGCCGAAAATAAACATATTTATCAACCTCGTGCAAGCTTATCAAGAAAGAATACATATTGATTAGTCACACCGAGGTTTAGGGAAGGTCGGTTTCGAAATATAAAAGAGAATTTGTTCGATAGATTTAAGAGGGCAGATGACCCTGCAAAATATCTCAACCGTCCTGAAACTGTAAGGAATTGGAATTTCCAAAAGAAAGAAATTAAGAAAGAGTGTAAATTTTTATGAATCCCCATGAGAGAGCGCGAAAACACAGGCGTTACGTTGGAAAACACAACTGCGTATTGCTTGACGAAAAAACTCGCTTTTTCATTTGTGGTCGGGTAAAAAAAAGGAAACAGCAGGAATAATAACGGTTTAAAACCTCAAAAAAGCATTTCACCCTTTTAAAATAGAAAGAGTTAGTACTAGCGAAGATCTGCAAATTCTGCTAGCTTCATTTTAACAAATATTGTTATTTTTCTGCTTGAGTTGGGCTGAGTGGAATGCGTGTGAATTGGTGTTTCCAGGCTCTGAAGAGGACAAAACCGCCAAAACGTCAGCCACTATTAAATAGATCTTGTTATTAATAACCTCTTATTTGGTGAAAAATAAAGTGCTGGTTTAATTAAAAGGCTCAATGTCTGTTGAGATATATCACGTCGAAACTAAAAAGGAATGCTGTTTCCAAACCACATCCATACCATAATCAAGTCGTATGGCTGCGACCATGTTAATGCACCATGGAATCGCGGTGCATTCTCCTCACCTGTGCAATTTTCGCCTCTAGTTGCTTATGCATATCTTGAGTTCCGCAAATGAACCTCACTGACGACAGACCAGCGCCATATTTGGTAAGTGCGTCTTGTCCTGCTTTGATAACCTAATAAACAATGTATAAACAGACAGCACTCAAGACCAACCTAAGCAAGATATATTGAGATTGGGTACTATGCAACGTTAAAAATTATGAATAGCAATAATAATGACAGCAATAATAATATCGATATGGTCAACTGCCACTTAAGCTGACACTTCGACGAATTTCGCCATCTTTAGAGCACCGCAGTGACATATCGACACATAGCTTATTCAGTTGTTGTTTAAAAGCAAGGTGATCCTAAACCAAAGAAAATCCATCATTTCACTTGTCCAGTTTATAGGAGAGAATGTAACCAGCCATGCAGATTTTGCTAATAATAATCAGTGAAGCCCATTTCAAAACAAACAGAGTTGTAATAAACTGGTTCGCTGGCTCATTTACTTTTCTGAGGCTACCGCTTCTTTCAGCTTATTCTGAGAATTTCCGAGTTAGTCTAAAATTTGCTAACGTTTCTTTAGTTCCGTGCTTCGGATTCTTTGTTGAGATTGAGGCAGAATTTTGACACTCTCACACTTATATTTTTGCTTCCTATGCATACCAAGCGAATAGAAGTTGTGTTTATTTTATGAGAAATGAAGTCATGTCGACGAATTGCGAGAAATAGATTTATTTCTGTTGCAGAGCTTCCACTTTGGATGAATAACCAGTGGTGATTTGTGCTGGTTAAAATGGCTGCCACCATAGGTGAACATCTCCAGCTTTTCATGGTTTAGCGATTGCGATGTGTACAAGTGATCCGCAAATCCGCAAAGTTGTTGTTTACTATGAGAAAAAAGTGGTAGTGATGTCAGTCATCACGAGCGTGATGCTAGTTCGATTCCGCTCCGGCAAACCAAGTCTCTCATTCCTACGGGGTCGAGGAATCGGTACCGGACTTGTGTGGGGAAAAGACCGCTCCCTCCAATCCAACTGGGAACGCCCCGGCTCGGGTTTCTCAGGACTCTAGGGAGAATTACTCGACCAGCATTCTACGACAATCAAGATGAAATGACAATCCTCAAGCAGCAACCGATGCCACATGTAAAGTTGGAAGATCTTCATGGATGATAGAACGAAAACTCAGGTCTAGACTGTTAATGGTGTTACGAAAACAGTTGGAGAAATAAATGACATTTTGAACTCTTTTCCTCATTAAAGAAGTAAAATTCGCTGAGATATTTGCCAATGTGAATCAATTCATGTGTTGAAACCTCATATGGGCTCTCAGTATATATACCAGTAATATATATACATACGTATATATATTATACATACGTATATATATATATATATATATATATATTCAACTGGGGACATAAAGTGGAGAACAACACCAGGTCCGGACAGGATAAGATCAGAACACCTGAAGAACCTTCCGCCAGTCCTCGTAAACACATTGACTCGGCTCTTCACACGCTACCTGTCTGAATGCAAGGTCCCTACTCAGTGGAAGACCAGCAAGACCGTTTTATTGTTCAAGAAGGGTGACCTGCACGATATCGGCGTCAGAAACCTGTTCGCTGCGTAAGCGAGATGAAAGATCACTCAGCGTTATTGAATGCGCAGTTGAATGGACGATCCTAGAAGTCTCCCGTGTCGCATGAGTAAAGAAAAGAAACCGAAACTCTGACCTGCGTCAACGATCAAAAATCAAAGATGCCGTTCTGTACGCCAAACAGTCGAAGATAAGGTTGGCCGGACACATAATGCGTATGAATGACAACCGATGGACAAGAGCCGTTAGTGATTGGATTTCTCGTGATGTCAAACGTACTGCAGGAGGACCACCGACCCGGTGGTCAGAGTTTTTCACGAAGAGCCTATAAGAAAGATATGATGCTCGAGGAGTCCCAAGAGCGAGCAGAACCCACTAGACTGCTCTTGCACGCGACAGGGAAAAATGGAAGATTTACTGATGCCCGCTCGAGTCACTTGACGGTCAACGGGACTACAGGTGATACAGGTGGCATATATATATATAT